CTCAGGGTTCAAATTATGGGGGAGCTTGGGGGGGGGGGGCTGAGCCCTCCCCCCCCATAAGAGATAAGAGCGCCATGTAAGATTTGAAAATCATAACCTGGGAGGGGCGGGGGGGAGGTTCTGATCAAATTGCTCCTTCACTTAGGTGGACTTGTTAATCAATGAAATCAAAGATTGGGATCATCTTGACCCCCCCTCCCCCTCATCAACATGTAATTTGAATCCTGGAGGCACTAGAGCACACCTTCCAGCCTGCCAGCTATTGTCAGGTCCTCCCTGATTGGCTGACTGGCATATGCCCCCAACTCCCTACTTTTCCCCCCACAGGCAGAGAACAGTCCCCATTCCAGCTGACCCTGAGACGGGCATCTGCCCATGTCAGGGGGGAGCCACCAGCCTCTGGGGGGTTTCCCAAAGCCAGCTTGAGATCCCCCTGGGCCCTGATCTAGCCAGCTGCAGCAGAAGGAGGGAAGGGGGGGTAATTCTTGCCTCTCCCCACAGCTGGGACTGACTGGCATAAATCATTGATGTACAGGAGGGAGGGGGAAAGGAATCCCTCCCCCAGGGCTGGCCCCCAAGTCCTGGTCCACCCAGCTGTGTGTGCGGGGGGGGAGGTGATTCCTGCTCTGCATGCTGGGCTGGCAGGTCACTGATATGCAGGGGGGAGGGAGGAACGAAAGCTCTCCCTACCCCAGTCTTGTTCCCCTATGTGGGGATCTTCCCAGCTGGGAGGAAGGTGGGAGCTAGGCCCCAGGGGGTTTCCCCTGTCCCCACCCAGCTGGGCCAGCTCCATAGAAAAAAGGATTGTGTCTTGCTGCCTAGCACAAGGCTGTGGGGCTGCCTACTGCATCCTGCCAGCTGCTGCTGGTGCTGGGTTTTGAGGGATGCACTGGGTAGCCTGGGTGGCACTAGCTGATCCAGGGGGCTTGCTCTGGGTGGCAGCAGGGAGAGAAGCACTCCATAAAGGACAGATCGGGTCCCACTGCCCAGCATGTCCCCAGCATGTAACCTCCCTATGCTGGCCCAGAACCAGGGCTGTGTAGCAAGGGGGCTCCATTCCCCCCTCCCTCTGTGGATCCAAGGCAGAGACTAGCGGGGGACAGGGCTCTGCAGCCAGCCCAGCCTGGTGGGGGAGAGGACCCTCACAGAACACCCCCCAGCTGGACAGACCCCAGCTGAAGGGTGGGAGCCCAGGCCAAGAGGGGGGTCCTTTCCCCTTCCTCCCCCCAGCCCTGCTCTGCGACACTCTGGGGTGAGACCAATGCAGCTGGCAGGAGAAGAACAGGGCAGGGCAGAGGAAGGGAAAAGGAGCACCTCACCCAGCTCCTGGGCTCTCCACTCCAGAGGCAGAGGATAGCCTGCCCACCCGCAAAGGTTCCTGGGATACTGGGGGACTGTAATGGGGACCCTATCACATTACAGAAAGGAGGAAGCAAACCCAAGAACCTGCCAGCCAGACAAGCCCAGAGACAGACTAAGGAAGGAAAAGATGTAAGCAAACACTCACCCCAGAGCCAGCAGTGAGAGAAATAGCAGGAGCTGGGGGCTTACACAGAAACCCCACAGATCCAGCAGCAGGAGGCCATCCTGAGACTGCTTGTAAGAAGCCAAAACAGGAATCACCTATGACTGCATTGGGAAACTAGTGACCAGAGGGGGAAGTCTCAGGAAACGTGTTATACTCAGGTCCTGCAAGCTGCAGAAAGGGGAGAGTTTCTCAGAAGGAAGTTGTTAAGAGGGCTTGTTAGATTACTGTTCTGCCTGAGATGTACCCAGGGAGAGCTGCTCTGCATGCATGCTTGCTCATCCACCCTGATGGCGATGGAAGGTTTTGTTATGTTTAAAGTGACAGTGTATTGCTTTTCCATTTGTTGTTGTTTGACCATTCAAAAGTTTGTGTTATGGCCAGGGGGATTCTTTTTTTGTTGTAGTTCAGACTGGTGGTTTGGGTTAGGACTGTGAGGGGAAGTATTTGGAGGTTCCCTTAGAAGCATTCCCTCTCAGCTGCATGCCATGCACAGCCATGTAGGAGCACCTGGCAGCGCGTCATGAGCGTGCCTGCGTGGCCGCACATGCCACGCAGTTTAGAGGCTCCTTAGTGCCCTAGGAGCATGTACTTGCTTTGAGCTGTGCTGGGAAAGCAATCTGAGAAAGTAGCAAGCCCAGAGCAGGGCATACTGTGGGGACCAGTGAGCCTGGAGCCCAGAGTAGGGCAAACAAGGCCTGCAGAGGGCTGGAACCCAGAAGCCATGTCTGGTTCAGTGTGCCTAAGCTACAGGACTCGGCCAAGAGAAAAAAGGGCTGAGACCAGAAGCGCCAAGCCCAACAAGCGTATGCAGACACCCCAAGATGTCTAATTAGTCCATGAACCAGAGGCTTAGCCCTAGCTTGGGAAGCCCTGGGAGCAGCTTCCCTCAGATATAAAACATGACATCAAGTTGTGGCAGGTGAGAAAGGAGAGAGCCCCAAAAGGGTGGACCAGGCTGTGCCTGAGC